TTTGTATTCTGAATTTATTTACCTTAGTAGATACGTGATAGGCTCCAGGAAATTTGGGTGCCAAAATATTAATTCAATCATGAGATGAATAATAGATGTGCGTGGATGGATGGCGATGCCCACTTGCTTGTTTATGAACCAATCAGCAAGCGAATTCTTGAAAAATATGTGTGAAGCTGGTTTTATACAAGAATATCACTGTAATCCACTTTTAGCTTGCTTTTGCACAGATTTTAACAAAGCCTCATAGTGATCCACTTTTAGTGTTTGCATAGAAGTGTAGAATTACAATTCTACAAGAGGATCTAGTAATACATTGCTAAGAAATATTTACAAATGAGAATTAGTAAATTCAATGTGACATGAATTTCAAGAGTTAGAATGCTTTAACTATTTGATACTTTGATACTCAGTCAGAATTTTTTTTTAAAGAAAAAACCCTCAAAAGTGTAACAGTTTGTTCAACTTTCATATAAGTAAACATTTTTAAATGTTCAGGAATAAAAGAGGATAAATTGAACTATAATTTAGCAACATTTGAACTGATTTTTTCAAATATTTAAATTGCTTTTTATGCTTTCAAAGAATATATAAAAGTAATGACTTATTGATTTGATCAACAGAAAAGTATTTAATCCTTTTAAAACTTGTTGCAATTCATGAAGTGCCAAAATTATGCTTGTGATTCACAACATGCAAGTTTAAGCAAATTTCTATTTGTCAACTTCTTAACAATTAGTTCAAGTAAACTGAATTTAGGAATTGTATCTACAGAAATTTAATCAAAATTTAAAATGGTGCCTATGGAAGCTTAAGAAATATGAATTGATCTGAGATGGAATAATGACTCAATAATATATAGAAATATATAAAAATGAAGTAAATTTATTACTCTTCAAAATTAAGAGGTTGATTGATAAAGTTTTAGGCCAAATAGAATAATGAAACTGCTATCAAAAAGATGTCAGTTTACTTCATAATTACAGTTTTATTTTTCAATATAATCATCATTTAGTGCTATAAATTTTTCCAAATGTTTTATCCACTTTTTCATTCTGTCCATAAAGAAAGGTTCTAGTTTACTTTTGATTTAACTGCATACAGCAAATTCAACTTTGGCATTGGATGAAGGACTGTTAACCTTTTTACACCTCTTTCAATTTTGGGGACAAGAATTGTAAATTTCAAGATTTTTAACTTTTATAACATTTATTGACTATAATACAGATTTGTCTTGATGCAAAATGAAAGAGCTCCTTTCAGACCTTATCCTGTTTATTCACTATTTGAGTGTTCATAAAATTTTCTTGCTTTCATTTATCTATTTATTTTAATTGACTTAACCTTCTAGTACCAAAATTTATATCACTGTTTTTATGAAATACAAATGTAGAACACACAACTAATAAATGCTATTACTCAATGCAGGCACTTGGCGCTTTTGAATAGGACTTTATGCATAGTTCTGTCTCTTCTATTAGTGGCACAATATGAAAGGAGACCTTACCAATTTACCTTCTGACACTAATAAACAGATTATTTAAATTGTAGATATTTGAAATAAGAAACTGTAAGTGTTTTTCATGGCAGGTCAGTTATGGCAAAATTCAGTTATTCAAAATGTACAGTACTAAGACAAATATTTGGTTGTTTTTTATTAAATTTTATTATGAAATGGACAGCTACAGGTACTGGAAATGATACCCTGGATCGTAGGAGTGACCCTGAGGAGCCATACATGTTTTATCAGGACTCTGCACCCTTCTTTATGCTTCATGTAACTCAAGAGTGGTTGGCCAAAAATTTTCATGATCATGTTATCTCTAGCATGTTGTTTCCTGGTTTGAACCCCTTGGACTCCTCTGTCTGGAGTGTTGCCAAGAGAGAAACCAATCAGCAGCCCCATAATACTAAGGACTTGTTGAAGGCCAACCTTGTGGATGGGATGGTTAACATAAATGAGAACTTATCCATGAATGCAGTCACTTCTGAGGCTGCATCAAGGCCACCCTGAAGATTTAGAGTGGTTTTAATGAATTATTTCTTTCTGGGTTTTTTAAGTTGGACATGTGTACAAATTTTTCTGAAAGTTTGCTGATTTTTTTTTATTGATTATCTTTGGTTTTCTTTAGATTATAACTTATTTTCATTTCCCTGTAAAACTAATATACTATTAATGTGATATTTACCATGAACATAAATATGCTATGTGTATCTCTCAAAAACTGGACAGGCTTGGATATCAGATAGAGCAAATAAAAAATTCTTTTTCTTACCCAGTGTAATGAAAATGAATATACAACAAAAGAAATGTATTATTGATATAGTTAGCAACATCATGATAAACTGTTGCAAATGATTTTGATCTTAACTAAACATTTTCATTTTGATGTTCCATGATACATTATGCTAAGCTTAGTAAATATTAATATTTTGTAAGCTTTGTTTGGCACAAGGCCATATGTGGTGCACTCATGTGCAGTAATAATGGGCCTCAAAACTAGTTTGTTAACTATTGCAAAATCTATACTGGAGAAAACTTTTGTTTTTCTTAATTTACAAAGAAATATATTATTGAATCCTATAGTTTTATTTATAACTCATACAAGCACAAATATTTTGAAAATGGATTCATATTGAAACAAACTGTAATCTTTGAAAAATTAAAACATTTTGCGTTACTCTTTCAAATACTGTTACAGGCAAATTTTTAAAAACAAATCTGAATTGTCAAGTAATCTTTATTGTCAAATTTAACTTTTTTTACCTTACACAAAATGACCAAAGATTTTAACCCCATGTCTAATAAATTAAATGCTTATTGATTACAGTGAAAATAAATTACTAAAGTTAATTAATATGAATGATGAAGTAAATATTTTATTTTTACTTTTTGGGTTACAAATAATTTATTCCAACAACAACCAGATACATAAAAGGCAATCTTGAGTTATTTTTAATTTCTGTTTTGAATTTATAGTGTTTTTATTTAAATAGAACAATGGTTTCCACTTTGCCCAGTCTACCGCTGATGTGCTTATGACCATAACTGAATATATATCATGCTCTTGATAAGAACAACAAAGCTTGAGCTGTGGCTCTAGATATCTCGAAGGCATTTGACAGGGTTTGGTATGCTGGTCTTTTGCATAAGTAGCAGGGCTACAGTATTACATGAGAACTATTTGATTTAATCCAATTATTCCTTCCAAATTGTGAAATGAAAGTCGTTCTGAATGGGCTCAATTCCAGATCCTTTCTTATGAATGCAGGGGTTCACCCATGGTGCTATCTTGGATTTTACACTGTTTCTGATCTTCATCAATGATCTTCCTGATGTCATCAGCTTTCAAGTATGCATCTATGCAGATGGTACTACCATTTACTCCTGTTTCTAGCAGTGCTGACAAAGTCAACCTGGCTACTGCTCTCAAAAAGGATCTTCAATCAGTGTTTAATTGGGGTAGGAAATGGCTTGTGAATTTTAATAGCTCCAAAACACAGACATAATTCCCTTCCCACCATTAACATGGCTGATGCTAGACTCCAGGAGAGTGTCTCACTATGCCTTTTTGGCCTCATGCTTTCGAATGACTTTAAGTGGAACAACTACATTGAATCACTAGCTACATCTGCTGCAAGGAAAGTTGGATCAGTGTCATGCCAGAAAGTTTTTCTCATCAGAGTCCATCTTACATAACTACAAATCTACCATTCATCCATGCATTGAGTATTGTTGCCATATCTGGTCTGGTGCTCCAGCTGTTCATCTCAAGGTTCTCGGCAACATCCAAAGAAGGATCTGCAATGTAATCAATCCTGACTTGGCATCTTGACTCCAGTCACTTTCTCACAGATGTGATGTGGCTTCCCTCTGTCCTTTCTACAAATATTTTCATGTTGAGCTTTTTCCCTGGTACCCTGATTACATAAATTTATGCATGCTACTAGACTAGCATCTAGGTCTCACCATTTTACCTTTGAAATAGTTAAATGTAATTGCCACTTCTACTCAAACAGCTTCTTTTCACACACTTCTCACCTGTTGGACTCCCTTCCATTTACTTGCTTCCCTGATAACTACAATCTTCAAAAATTTAAATGCAACATCAATCACCATTTTCTGATGTCTTGAACCCCATTCATCTTTTATCCTTTCCTCATTCCCCCCCCCCCATACATAGTTTTTTCTCTCACCTACACTCTATGTGGCAAACCAGTGGCAGTCCTGCCTTGAATGTGGTGAAATTCTTAAAAAGAAAAAAAAAACTGTCTAGATGTGTTCCTTCTTGAGGAATCAATGAAGTCAGGATTACATTAATAAATATTTTTTAAAAAATTATGAAAAAATTAATCTCTTAAAACTGATTAGAAAAAATGATAATGAAATAATTATATGCTAATTTTTCTTCATTAAAGTTACTTTTTCAAACTTAGTCTGGCACAAGTCCAAAGTTATGTTGTACACATTATTGAACTCATTAGCAATGATAAGTTTGTATCTTGAAGATACAAACTGATAAGTTTGTTCTTCACTTGATTCTTCATTAATTTAAATTTAGTAAATATCAAAGTGTTTGCCATATATCAATTAGTTAACAAGCGAGTCACATATACCGTTGCTGGTATGTTAAAAATCAACACAGTTTTCATCTCTGTGAGACCCAGGAATGTTCTATACGGCAATCATAAATGAATCCTATGCTGCTAGCTCAAGTGACTACTAATATACTACTAATATTTGCTATGAAATTTAATATGCAATGAGTATATCATAAAAACATGACACACTATGACAACACTGAGTAGAGATTTGGAAACACACATTTTTAATCCAGTAGTAAAATCTTTGTTGTCCAGTGTTATTTATCAACTACTAGAGGAAAATATACTAAATGTTATTCTATCCATTTAAATACAGATATTCCTAAGGATAAAAAATACTGTTAATTTAGTATTTTTAAGTCAAAGTAAATTCTTTTTCTACTTTACATATTTAGCAACAACAACTCTGATGCTCACAACAACACCAGTGCCCACTACAACACTGATGACAACAACTCCTGTGCCCACCACAACTCTGATGACAACAACCACTCCAGTGCCCACCACAACTCTGATGACAACAACCACTCCAGTGCCCACCACAACTCTGATGACAACAACCACTCCAGTACCCACCACAACTCTGATGACAACTACTACTCCAGTGCCCACTACAACTCTGATGACAACCACTCCAATGCCCACCACAACTCTGATGACAACAACTACTCCAGTGCCCACCACAACTCTGATGACAACAACTACTCCAGTGCCCACCACAACTCTGATGACAACAACCACTCCAGTGCCAACAACAACAACTCCGGTGCCCACCACAACACTGATGGCAACAACCACTCCAGTGCCCACCACAACTCTGATGACAACAACCACTCCAGTGCCAACAACAACAACTCCGGTGCCCACCACAACACTGATGGCAACAACCACTCCAGTGCCCACCACAACTCTGATGACAACAACCACTCCAGTGCCAACAACAACAACTCCGGTGCCCACCACAACTCTGATGACAACAACCACTCCAGTGCCCACCACAACTCTGATGACAACAACCACTCCAGTGCCAACAACAACAACTCCGGTGCCCACCACAACACTGATGGCAACAACAACTACCCCACTGGAGACTAGTACAACAATACTGACTACAACACCAAAAGCCACAACAACAGCACTGCCAACAACTACAAATGTTCCTACAACAACAACCTTACCAGCTACAACAACAGTTCTAACTACTACTCTTCCAGGTTGGAAAGGTTTTGCACATTGTTTACAGAAAAAATTAAATATTGTTCTTTATTGTAAAACAAACGGTTCCTAAACCAATAGTTATGATGAAAATAAGGTGGTTATGAGATGCTCCTGAGCATCAAAAGATGGTCTAAAAATAAAAAAAAAATGCAAATATATTTGCATAAAAATTTTAAAATGCATCAATGTAACTATAAAATAGGAAAATAATTGTGAATAACAAAGCATCAATAAATGTATGAAAAAATATTCCAGTCTGTTCAGATCCAATACTTGTATGTTAAGACAGCTGGAACCTGTCACAATCACAGTATCATTTCTTACTCACTCCTGTCATTGCTGTTTTGGCTGTGATATACATATACAAGACATTTGCATGAAACTATACCTTTCTCTTTGATCATCAGAAATATTGAGATTTATTTTTTATTAAAGTAAAATTTAATAAGATTTGTTAGATAAAACTAGATTAAGGAACACTAAAATTGAAGGTCACTGGGCTCAAAATATTTAAATTCTAGTTTGTGCACAAAAAAAGCTGTTTTAAGATAATGTTATATTGTTTCTACTGAAATCAAAACTTTAAAAAAGCAAAGAAAATGTTGACGAGTCAGTTATGTGAAATATTTTTCAATTGCAATAGAAATTATTGAATAATTTTTCATATATTGAAAATGCAAGAGAAAATATTAATTTATTCTTTAATGAAAGAGAATTAGTAATGAAATTATTAAGAATAAACTAAATAAGTACTACCTGAAGTGAGAAGGCTTTTCAACATAAACACTTTCTGTCAAAGCTGTGATAAATAATATTTTCATTATTATAATTAAAAGAAAATGAAAGAAAAAGATGTTAAGTATTGGATGACATCACCACCATTTGCATTTAATATTGCAGTATGATAGTTATGATAGATAGTCTATGGCATCTGAGTAAACATTAGGCTATCACTGTGGTTCTCAAACTCATGGTCATGACCCAAATGAGGGGTGCTAAGATATACCTGAAAGTCATGGAATTATTCAGAAAAATATAAGAAGAAAATAAATGTTAAAAGTAAAAAACAATGTAAATATATTTACATAAACATTTTGGAACTTAAAGCATCATTGAAACACTGGAATAGGAAAATAGTTGCAAATAATGAAGCATCAATAAATGTTCATAAGCACCTGATATATTCGAGTCTGTTCACATACCAAACATTTATGAGGCAGCTGAAGCACAGCACAACACAGTCACAGTATTGTTTCTTGCTCACTTCTGGCATTGCTTTTTTAGATGACTGAAATACTGTGATATGCACATGAACTTATGCCTTTCATTTTCTTCAATTAACATAAGAAATATCAAGATTTATTGATTTATTAAAGTAAAATTTATGATAAAATTAAATGAAATTGTTTCTTCCAGGAAAATACTGTGTTCAGGGTTGCAGCCAAAAATGTTTTTGTTTATGTTATGTTTATCAGTATTGATTTGGTAATTGTTGTGTCGGAAACCTACCACCCCCTCTTGAAGATGAACTTGTCTGCGAACAAAGACTTTAAATAGTGGCATGTCAGTTGACATGGGAAGACAGATAGACAGAGAAGTTCTTGGCTGAGCTAGTTATTGACTACTCAGGCGATTTCTGCACCTTTTTACCAACCTATTAAAACCCTTTTTATTGTTACGTGTTATTTGGCGTTTGTCTCTACTAACCCCAAATCAACATCATAACAGTAATTTTGAGAAAAAAATCTATATATTAAAAAAAAACTGTTGAAAATATGAAAAGTATCAATATTTGTATGGAAATATGCATTTTTGTTGTTTTTTCAGCAACAACTGAAATGCTTACAACTACACATATCCCAACCACTGAAGCTCAGACAACAACAGCGCCAACAACAACTATGGCACCAACAACAATAACACCACTCGTGACAACAACAATTGTCCCAAGTATTATTTTATATTTTTTAACATAAATTTTTTATGTAACATTTTTATAGGTTACATTTTGCCAAATTTATAAAAATGTTAAAATGTATGCCCTTGGATTTACTTTAATATCAACTGTGTATTGAAAAATATGTATTATTTACAACTTAGCAAGTGAAAAATTGAATGTCATCTATGGCACCATTGCCTTTTATGTGTCATAAGTGATGATAGCTCTCCACAATTTCCTTTTGTCTTTCGTTGCTCTATGTAACTTCTTTACTATCCTTCTTTGTCTTTGCCTTTCAAATCCAAAATATGTTTTGGCTTTAAATAACTTATAAAGTGTTGATAAGCCATAAAAAAAATAATCAAACCATTCACTCAAACTCATTAAGTAGGTCACTTGTCATTTCTCTCTCTTTCTCTTGCCTTCTATATATCTTGTGAGAGTTATATTGTCCAAGCTCTCTTTCCTTATCCCAGAAAATCACTTTCTAATTTTATCAGTTTCTTTGTTTCTATTCTCCTTAAATCTTCCTCATTACTCACATGTTCTGCCTATGGTATTCTCTACATTTGAATTACAAATCTCTTCTTCATATGTGAGGAGATTGTCCAACATTCACTGCCCTAGAGGAGATTAGGTATTACATGACATTTAAAAATTTTCAAAACATAAAAAGATATAAATAATTGAAAAAAAAACATGCTAGTCACTAATCACAAATAAGAAAATGTTTATTTTACAGATATTTTTATGCTTCAATTCATTTCAAAAAGTTATTTGAATTTACTTTTATCTTTCTTAAATCATTTTACTTGAATATAGTATCTAGTAAATAAATTTAATTTTAGTTGCTTTTCTTTGATCCTTCAATAAGAACTAGTATGAAGTCCAACAATATTTTATATAAAACAAAATAAATTAAAAGATTAATGAATATTCAAAAGCTTTAAATTCGATAAGAGAAATATTTACTTTAAAAGACTTTTATAATAAAAATGATTTTCTTTTTCTTTATTTGATAAAAGAGTGTTATATTTTTTTGCATTGTTGTGGACTATTTTCTGTCAAGTAAACACTCTGACAGGTTTGCATAACTTTTAATTTTAGAAAAGTGCACATCTTCTATATGCTGTGTTCCTTCAAGACATGAGCCATCATGGCTCTCCACAACTTCCTGTCCTTTGTAGCTCTTAGTAATATAAGTAAAATTTGTCTCTTTGCTATCACTCCTAATCTTTGTTCTGCATACTATTTACACAAGATCATTGAGTAGGTATTTGTCATTTTCTTTAGTCCCTCTTGACTACAATTATGCCCTGTGATTGTTAAGTCCTCTTTCCTCATTATGTACCCTAGAAATTTCAACTCTTTCTGATTCTAACTATGTGTCCTTTTTGTTTCCATTTTCCTTAAAACTTCATCATTGCTCACATATTCAGTTCATGGTATTCTCAGTATCCTTCTGTAGAATCAAATTTCTTTTGCCTCAGATCTCTTCTTTATCTGTGAGGAGATTGTCCAGTATTCACTGCCATGCAAGAAGATTGATATTACATAACAGTTCAGTATTCTTTTCTTTGTTTCTAATGAAATTTTCCTGTTTCTTAATACTTTGTTTAGCTTTTGAAAGGCTTCTTTTCCTATTCCAATGGTTCTTCAGATTTCAATGTCACATTTTCTGTCCTTAACACTTAGATATTTAAATTTCTGTACTTGCTTGATTTTTTTGTGTCTCCAATTCATAGTTTGTATTGTGGGCTTTACCTGTTGCTGACAACCATACATTCTGTCTTCTAGTAAACTTTTATACATAAACATACTGTAACATCTTTGGTTTGTTACACATATCTACCATCAAATTTTATACCAGTTTTATATTTGATGCAATCAATATACTTGTAACTCCCTAATAAGAATGTATCTTATGACAAATGTAACTTTGTAAAAAAAATTAAATTATAATGAAAAGATTGTATCAAAAATTACAAAAGTAAATACATTACTTCCATCATTACCATTTTTTGGTACTGCCTTCATTAGAATAGCAGACAGTAATTTGTCATGTAATATCTACTTAAAGGAAACCCCTAATTAACCCAGTTAATGCATCCTTAAATTATATTGTACTAATTGGAAATGTATTAATCAAACTTAAAAACTTATGGGGAATAATTTAATTAATCCTGAAATTCAAATTTTTTAAAAATTAGAAATTATTTTTTAAGACAATTTTTAATAAATATTTTTTAAATATTTAAAAGTTTATTAGTTTAATTAATATTTTTTTATAATAAACCTGTTAAAAATAATTTTTCAGCATCTACGTTATTTCTTATGCAACCCAAGTCTTCAATATATTTTAATAAAAAAAAACTGTAACAACTAAAAACTTTCAAAAAACAATATGTTACTATTGCTTATTTTTATTTTTTAATTCAGAGCATATTTTTACATGTTATATTGTAGTTTCAAATAAAGTTTCAAGTGATCTAATTTTCTTTGGGTACTTATCTTTATAGAAATGAAAATGTTTATATTGCCCAAATGATATTTAGTACAGATTTCATAAAATTAAATAAAGATGGAACTTTATTGATTTAAAAAATATTTCCACAAATTTTTCTTACAATCTTTTTCATAAATTATTTGCCTGTATTACTTTTTTTAATTGAATGAGTCAGTTGAACAAACACACTAAAAATATTATTTAAAAGGTTTCTTTTTTTTTCTTAAATAATGAGTTTATTAAATTAATGTCTTCCATTCATAAATCAATTGTAAGAAAACAGTATGTGGTTGTCAACTAGAGGAATAGCCTAAGATGCAAGCTATAAATTGGAGATGCCAAAATCAAACAAGTATGAAGAATTTAAATATCTAGAAAATGTTTTAACAAGAAACAGAAAATGTGACACCAAAATCCAAATACAATAGCAAA